TTACGGAACACAACTGAGAGTTTGAATAGAAATTTTAGGAAACGGAACTTCTCATTGTTGTTGGGAATCTACTTATACATGCACAGCGAAATTTAAAATAATTTTCGATTCCCATCAAAATATCATCTGCTAGTTCGTGTAATCACCTTCTATGCATCTTTAACGTTTTAAGGTGCTTACTTGTTTTTTCCAATCTTTCAGTTTGCTTGATGTAAATTCCATGTGGGGTTTCCGTAGTCTCTTGGCATTTTTTTTATTTTATGGATTCATATAAAATTCTAGTAAACTCTTCTCATAACACATCTCATTTCTCTTTGTATACAATATATGACACATGTGGTTGTCTGTACTCTCTAACTCCCATTGTACCTCTGTCCCCCATTGAAGTTGGCAGCAAACAAAAAAAATCTTAAATAAAAAAAGAGATCAGCCACATTTAGTGCATAGTTATTGATAATCTCCTCGTCACTTGTCAACCTACGTATCCATCTCATGAACTTGTACTACTTAGCCTCTCACCGATTTCATGTATAAATTATATTTATTATATTTATCTTTGCAATGGGTTTTTTTAGTAATTAATCTGTTTTCCATGTCGATACATATGCTCAATTACGAATTTCATTCTTTGGTTATGGATGCAGAGAAAAAGGACTGGACCCAAAATATATACTCATTACAAATGCTTGTCTAATTTGATGTTTTTATTCAGTTTGACTTACATCATGATTGATAAATGTTTCGAGTGCGTGCTGAAAACTAATGTGTCAAGTGTCGACTTTTTCTCAGATATCCAAAAGCAATTGAGATTTATGAAGAGATAGCACAGCAATCGCTCAGTAACAACTTGTTGAAGTATGGAGTTAAAGTTCTTAAGGCTGGCATTTGCCAGCTCTGCAAGAGTGATGTTGTTGCAATCAACAATGCTTTAGAGCGGTATCAGGTATTACTGTTGTTTTTATCCAGATCTGCCCCATTTCTTTGCACATGCTAAGGATATGCATTTGGATTTTCTCTTGTAGAAATTGGATCCTACACTTTCAGGAACACATGAAATTGCTAGCGGTATGTTGCAGATCACTAGCATGTCTCTAAATTTTCCGTTTTCACATCTTTATGTTTTGTTTTTCCTTCTTAATGGGAATGCATGTTGTCCAGTTATTTATTAATGAGTTTTTTGTATTGTTTAAACTACTCGTGTGGTTTTTTATTGCTTTTTATAATCTTTCAGCCGGTATGTTTGCAAATGAACTGGTAATATATTAATATGATAAATTGATAGGTGAACATTTATAGTATACATTGATCATAGGATCTAGCTGTTGCTATTGATGAGGAAGATATTGACAAGTATACTGGCGCTATCAAGGAATCCGATAGCATGACCCGGCTGGTAATTGTGTTAAGCTGTCTAATTTATACTTTGAACTTGCATTCAAATCTCAAGTTGTGAATTTGAATTTAGTTGCAAAACTTTCTCTGAATTCTTGTTGCCAGTTAACCTTAAAATCAGCTTTTTGTGTATATTGACTGTAAGTCCCAATATTACTAGATCATCATGTGTTGTAAATGAGATTTCAGCAAGAAAGGCAAACTTCTTGTTGAACCACAGATACTTTTAACTATTCTCTTTTCTAAATTTTTTTTTATGTTATGAAGGAAAGGCTTGGGAAATGTGATGATAGGGAGAATAAAAAGAAAAGAAGGTGCTGGCTTTGATTGGTGCCCAAGTGTGAAATAATTCAGCAATAAAATTTGCTACTCATTCCCATGGGGTGTTTTCTACCGAGTTTTGGCATTCAAGTTCCATTAGTCACTGATAAAGCCAACATTTTACCAGCATCCCGTTCTGATTTATCAGCTGAATTTTTTTCTCTGCTTTGGCAGTAACATAATTATACTGTATTTCTCCTCTCTTACACTGGATCGTAGGATGCTTGGAAGACGACTCGTCTATTGAAGGTGAAGGAAGCCTTGAAGGCCACAGAACTCGAGGAGGATGATCTGACTTAAAATTGCTCTCTATTGGATATCGTTACTTCCCACACTTGCTACTGATGATTTTGTGATGGAAAATTCTTGTGGTAATATTCAGGTGGGCCCCCTCCATGTGAGGAGGAGGAGGACACCCTTATGTACCAAGTTTGATGTACCCATAGACCAACCCTTTTGTGATTGATGGTTGTCTATTATGAATTTATATCTGGTGACGTCCCACCATGATAATGATTTATCAGTATTATTGAAGAGCTGAAAAGCGAAGATACATCATTAATTTTCTTTATTGCTTTGGATCAATTTGTTTGTAAATTGTTCACAGGAATAATTGCAATTGTGGTCCTCAACTTATAGCTTATATGGCAAATTTGTCTTTAACTTTTCAATTTTCTCACATCATGGTGGTTTGCTGAGTGGAGGCCATGTATAAGCCACGTAGGAATAAAGGCACCACGTAAGACAGATCTACACTTCACTACGAGCCATGGGTGCCTCTCTGAAGCCAACGAATGTCGTCGAGGTATGGGGGCGCTTTGCTAGGATAAAGAACGCATTTATAGAGGTTTGTAAGGTTGTACGTCCAATTTGCAAGGGATGGCCTAAAAAGGTGTGTTGGTAAATTGGTAATGCATAGGTGGATAGGAAGATGAAAATAAATTATATGACAGTGTCGTTCAACTTTGAAGGTGAATAATTTTGATTCACCTTATTGTTGAATAAATATGTAACCCTCAAATTTTTTACTTTTTATACATAAATTGTGTGAATAGCTGTAATGAAAAATAAATAAAAAAGAAAAAGAAAAAATATGGATTTACAGCTTATGGTTGTCATTTAGCCTTTTGTCCAAAGCTTTCTTTTCCCTCTTAGAGAGACAATTTAAACTTTCGAGAGGATTTTTTTGTTTATCTTTTATATTTTTTTCTCTCTGTTTTTAAATTTTAGTTAAAAATAAAGGTAAAATCATATTAAATAAAAGTCTGACCATTAATACATAAAACCTTACTTAAATAAATAAAGGGAAATGCTTGCTCTACAGGCTCCTCACATGTTGGGTAGGAGGGTGGGTGATTATTTTGAAAAAAAAAAAAAAAAAAATTACCCCGCCCCCATAATGTGTGTGGCCTGTACAGGCAGCAGAATCCATAAATAAAAGGTTAGAACGCATTTGTAGAAAATTAAACAGATCAGGGACTTTCACTGAAATTATCCCTGTCTTCGACGACCTTTTTCTACTTTTGAAGTTAGGTTAGGCAAAAAATAAATAAATAAATAATGGAAAAATCCAACTTGGTGTACCTTCCTCTTTGACAGAGGCTTTGCTGTGAATGGATGGAAAAAACGGATGAACAGCTCAGAGTTTTAAAAGTCTTTGTTAAACATATCGGCATCCCGCTTGGTTTTTGTAAGTTTTCATCTGTTACTTTTGGATCTTTCTTTTTTTTTTTTGCTTAATTTGTTTATTATGCGTTGGAGTTAATTTGAACATTTCTTTATGGCGTGCCATGGGCTATCAAGAATCTTTGATTCTTATTTGTTAATATTTTCATGGACCGGCAAAAAATTATGGTTTCACCAGACTGCTGTTAAATTTTCATTTTTATCATCTTTCTGTTCTTTGGTTACTTCTATTTAGAGTTTTTAAAAGAATGTTTCCTGGATTAACAATTGGACTTAAATGTTTCCTGGATTAACAATTGGACTTTCCTCAATTATTTGTGTAATGCTTCTGAGTTTTAGATTTCTTCTTCTATTACAATAAAGTTCCATAATTGTTGGATCATAGATTCATTAAATATTTTACAGGGATTTTGAGTGTTTTCTTGTGGTGTAATTGACTGGAAGATAATTTTTTTAAGACATGCGAGGATTGATTGACGTTGGTTTTCAATTTTACAGCTGTGTGATATTTGATTGTCCTTCAGTCAGGCGAAGAAACTATTGAAAATGATTGTGTAACATAAAAGTTCATTAACTTTCTGAGAATAAAGCACCACCGTGAAAGCAATATGGTTTCAAGTAATAATGGTGAGAATAGTGGTGGAGGTAAGGAATCTCCTGGTACTAAAGTCAAAGGTAATGTCGATCTGCACGTCTCAACATCACAAAGGGGTCTTATAAATGAAGAAAATTCAAGAAATGGGTTAAATGATGGTTTATCAGCTCTTTCCAAAAGGCTAAGATTCCTTAAGTTTGGTAATTTGTCTTCTCCATCAGCCAAATTTCAGCGTATAGCTGAGGAGAGGGATGAACTCTCACGCAATGTACCTTCTGCTACCACCCTTCACATCCGTGAACGTGTTAATAGGATTTTCTCTCAGAAAATTGATTGGACTTCTCTTGGGAAAATTTGCAAAGAATGGATAAGGAATCCCATGAATTTGGCTCTTTTTATCTGGATTACTTGTGTTGCTGTTTCTGGTGCTATTCTGTTTATGGTTATGGTTGGAATGTTGAACCATGCCATACCAAAGAAGTCTCAACGAGATACTTGGTTTGAAGTCAATAATCAAATTCTCAATGCACTGTTCACCCTCATGTGTTTATACCAACACCCAATACGAATATATCACCTAGCACTATTATTCAGATGGAGGCCAGAAGATGTTTTAAAGCTCAGGAAAGTTTACTGCAAGAATGGCACCTATAAACCCCATGAGTGGGCACACATGATGGTGGTTGTGGCTCTATTCAACCTAAACTGTTTTGCTCAGTATGCATTATGTGGTCTCAACTTGGGATACAGGAGATCTAAACGACCAGCTATTGGGGTGGGAATATGCATCTCTGTTGCGATTGGTGCCCCTGCAATTGCTGGTATTTACACCATGCTTAGTCCACTTGGGAAAGACTATGAGACTGAGTTGGATGAAGAAGCACAACTTCCGGTTACCACTGATGGAAGTAGCCGACCAGATCAACTGAGGAGGCAATCATTTCAAAAAAGATTTTCATTTGCATTGAGAGATGAGGAAAGAAACATCGTGAGTAGACCTCTGTGGAGTGGAGGTATTCTTGATTTTTGGGATGATATTTCCTTAGCTTATCTATCACTATTTTGTAGCTTCTGTGTTTTTGGATGGAATATGGAGAGACTTGGGTTCGGTAACATGTATGTTCACATTGTTACTTTTCTTCTATTTTGTATGGCTCCTTTTTGGATTTTCAACCTGGCTGCCGTTAATATAGACAGTGATACTGCCAGGGCAGCATTAAGTGTTGCCGGTATTTTCCTTTGCATATTTGGGCTACTGTATGGTGGTTTTTGGAGGATTCAGATGAGAAAGACATTTAATTTGCCCCCATATAACTTTTGTTTTGGTAAACCAGCTGTCAGTGACTTTGTTCTGTGGCTTTGCTGCTGTTGGTGTTCTCTAGCTCAGGAAGTACGGACAGGTAATTCATATGCTATTGTGGAGGATAAGTTCTGCTGGAGAAAAGGTGACCAATTGCCAATGTCTCCTTTGCCCCACGAAGATCGGGAATTTCAGTTTAGGTCCAGCCCGAGTTCTCCTCTAGGTTACAGCTCCTCTCCATCTCATATAATGAAAGCTAACACCCCAAGTCCTAGCCACTTTCCGAAGGAATACTACAGTCCACAGAGGCAGCTTTCTTTAATTGAAGAAGAATCTCATAGACAAGGTAAAGATGAAACGATGACACCACCTACACCTTCCGTAATAAAAAGAGAAGAGATTTGACAAAACAATTTGAAATGTTATTGTGATTTGTAACATGAATACAAACAGTCTAGGCATGTAATTTATTGATTTTTAGGTGTATCCATATACAAGTCATACTTCTGTAATTTTTCCTTGGATTGCTTATGAATATTAATGTTGTTAGTGCCTTGTTTTTCTTTTGATATCTCTTTTTCTTCCATTTGATAGATAAATGCATTACGGGGTATAAAGTTTTTGTATCTGGTTTTGCAGGTTTGCATGTATGTTTTTAATCTTTATATTTGTATATTTCAGTTTTCTTTTTTGTATTATTTGGTTTCTTTTTGAGTTCATTTTTTTCCACTGAAATGGAAACACTTATTAATTTAGCATAAAATTAAAATCTGGGATTAACAGATCTCCTGACACATTTTTCATTTTCAATTAATTGAACATTACTTGCTCAAACCTTCGTCTGCTGAATCTTCTTAGAAATTCCTTATCTTGTTTGCAACTTAGGATAAAATGTAGGAACAATTGGAAGGAATCCTCAGTTTATCAGTATGCTTCACGCAAACAATAATGGATGAGAATTTATTCAGTCTTTCGCGGCCTAGGATCAGAAATCAAGGGGGTACTCAAAATTTGCCAGTCAATAGCATGTGGGAATAGATTTGAGAATTGGGTCTCACTTTCCTTCTTTGTACTTTGAAGACACGGAATGGGTGAAGCATGGTATTTTGATTTACTAATTGTACTGCTATAGGGATGTTGAAGATTTCTTTGAATATTTTTGGATTGCTACTTGAGCCTCAGATCAGATGAGTACAATATTTGTTCCAATTGCAAGAGCACAGCAGCAACCGGAAGTGTGAAGTGACCTATTTAACATGTGAACCTGCTGATGCGCTTCTTTTGGTACTTATATTATCTCGTTTTGTGTAGTTCATGCCATTGCCTGAAGCAAAATGGTCCATAGAAGATCACTGCCTATATACTTGGTGGAATAAATTTTCCAAGGATCAGGACATGGCGCATGGCAAGTTTTTGCCCATCTGTTGATACATTCGTTGGCATTATTCTCGAGAGATGATTGAACAGAGAAGGTGAAATTTGAGATCCCGTATGGAAGCTTTACGGAACTTTTGCTACTCCCTTGTTCATTTATTTATAGTTTTTATACCATTTTTCCCTGGTGCAGATTATCTCAGTCAGACGTGGGGGTGTCCAAGTAAATAATAGATCTCATTGACTCAAATTCAATGCAAAAACCGGTAACAATCAGTAATTCTTTGTGGTTGGCAACATTAACTGCAATTTTGGGGAAGCAGTGTCAAGTATGCTTGAAGATGTTATGGCTCAAAATTGTCCTCTGCATTACTTGGGCATCGTTTATTTGGTACATTTATACATGCCTACATTTGACTGTACTTATACATGCTTGGGATTAATTGTTAAGAATTTGCCTTGGTTATTACTTCATCCAAGTAAAATTAGAACGGACTTGCTATACTTCTCTTTCAATGTCTACTGCGAAATGGTGGGTCTGCTGACTGAAGGTCGTAGAGTATGTTCTTCAATGAAGACATAAGTTTTTCCGGCTGAAGGTTGTATATTCTGACATCTAACAACCTAAAGTATCAATTTCAGCACTTTGCATATAGTTTTACATCTAAGGGTTTTTCTTCTTCCGAGTAAACCACTTCAGCTGGGATAGGTGTTTTTAGGCTCCTATCCAATAGTGTAGTGGGAGGGTTGGGCGCAGTCCCCTACATGTATATTAATATAGAAATGAAGTACATGGAGGGGGATGTTGGGCCTTACCTCCTAACAAGAACATACAAAAGAGAACTTGTGAAATTTAAACAAGTACTCCTCCCATTGCATATTAAAGGAGCCGATTCTAAGCATGCAACACTTAGCTACTGATTATAAAGCCCCTAATTTGAAATTTCTTTTCCGGGATTCTTAAATGTGGAAGGTCAAGCGTATCAGTTCTTAGGGTACCCTTACCTTATCACTCAATGAGTTACTTTCACCACTGACTTGCTCTTAATCTGCAGCCATGTTTGGTTCTACCCCTTGGTTTCTGTCAACATTCTTCTAATGTCATCCAGTAAGCACACTGCTTCCCATAGCCCTGGTTACCTAGTCCTTATAGTGTTAACTAGACTTGATGAAACCTCTTCCACCTCTATCCTTTCTATCTTTTTTAGCTTACAAATGCTCAATCCCTTGTCGAATCTGCCATGAAGCTATTACAATTTGTCCTAAGGAGGCTTTGTGACACCCATAAGTAATCAACTTATACATCCTTCATTTGTTCTTTGCCATCTAATCAATACTATAATTTCCTGCTATGCTTTGATCTCCTTTCCAGCTTCTTTTCAATATTATCTCAGTCCGTACAAGCAATTTGATCAGACATTCCACCCTCCAAATTATCCTTTCCTCTGCCATGGCATACTTAAACAGGTTAAAGCATTTGCAAAACACTATCTTTGCTTCTTCTTTTTTTCTTTTTCTTTTTTTTTTGATTATTTTAGTTCTTATGTCGGAAGTTTATTTGCTTGCATTGCACTTGTGCTAAAATTGGTGGTAAGTGTGGATTTTGTGTTTACATTTCCTTTTCTCTCCTCCCAATTCATGTGGTGCAAAGTATTTAACGGTGTGTTCAGCAGATAGGCTTTGCAGGTGCATATTTATGCTGTTTTAGATGGTCACAGGTATACAGAGCCAGGACTTGAAAGAAAATGAAGTGAAGTTCGATGATAAACATCGAATTGGCTAATAGTTTCATGTTACATCTAGCAAGTGAATATTAGCCCCAGTTTGTCAACCATTATCCGGGAAATTAAAGAGTTTTGAATAGTATTATTTGGAGAATGTGTGGTTAAAAAATAAAGAAAATTTATTAGTTTGTGTGTATAATATTTTATTGTGTAAATGTGTGGTTAAGAATGATCAGATAGCATTCAATTTAAATTTTTGAAGGGGGCCAAACAGGCACTTACTCATAATCACCGTACCTTTAACATTGTTTCTTATCCATCAGTCAAAATCATTGGTAAAGTTAATTTCCTGCTATGCTTTGATCTCCTTTCCAGCTTCTTTTCAATATTATCTCAGTCCGTACAAGCAATTTGATCAGACATTCCACCCTCCAAATTATCCTTTCCTCTGCCATGGCATACTTAAACAGGTTAAAGCATTTGCAAAACACTATCTTTGCTTCTTCTTTTTTTCTTTTTCTTTTTTTGATTATTTTAGTTCTTCTGTCGGAAGTTTATTTGCTTGCATTGCACTTGTGCTAAAATTGGTGGTAAGTGTGGATTTTGTGTTTACATTTCCTTCTCTCTCCTCCCAATTCATGTGGTGCAAAGTATTTAACGGCGTGTTCAGCAGATAGGCTTTGCAGGTACATATTTATGCTGTTTTAGATAGTCACAGGTATACAGAGCCAGGACTTGAAAGAAAACGAAGTGAAGTTTGATGATAAACATCGAATTGGCGAATAGTTTCATGTTACATCTAGCAAGTGAATATTAGCCCTAGTTTGTCACCCATTATTTGGGAAATTAAAAAGTTTTGAATAGTATTGTTTGGAGAATGTGTGGTTAAAAAATAAAGAAATTTTATTAGTTTGTGTGTATAATATTTTATTGTGTAAATGTGTGGTTAAGAATGATCATATAACATTCAATTTAAATTTTTGAAGAGGGCCAAACAGGCACTTACTCATAATCACCGTACCTTTAACATTGTTTCTTATCCATCAGTCAAAATCATTGGCAAACTACATATTCTATTTACTATGCCATGAAAATCGTTAATTTTCATACGGAAGGAGACGAAGTGAGGATGAGAAATAATTCAGAAAAAAAATTTTAAGCTTCCGTGACTATTAAAAAGCAACATTAAAAGCACATTGACCATTGGAATTTTTTAAGTTACCAAATTGTGAAAAAGAAAAGCTAGTTTGGTGTTTAATTGTCTCTTCTTTGGATGTTTAGTGACCTTTCTCACTTTGTAAATTCTAATATGTAATTAGTGTGATCATAGTCATGTTTAAGCTATATTATATTATTGTTAGTTTACTGTAATTATTGATAGTCGACATGTATAATGGACATTCGAACGGTGTCACTTAGTATGAACATTATGAAATGCAAAAGAAGCCGAAAAAATAATTGCAATTAGTTATTAATGGTTGTTGAAAGATTTTACCGACCCTGCCGACCAGTGTCCTTTTATGTCTACTTCGTTAAAAGGGGGGAAAAAGGGGAAAAAAACATTCTTTAGGTCCGACAACTTTAACTTGTTTGTTTTCAATTGAATTGTTTAACTGTTATAGCCAACATTGTAGAATAATGTTACATTTGAAAGTGGATGGTTGAAGATTAGGTACCTATGTCAAATCAAGGCCGGTGAAACTGACACGTGTTAATAGCAGAGGCTCCACACGCCACGTCAGTACCACCGTTTACAAGCATAGTATCATTTAAATAAGTAAATTTGACTAATGAAGCTACATGTATAAAGTTGTGTTACAAAGTATGTTAGTAAAATTTAGGCCATTAATTTTAAATATTATTAATGGTTGTTGAAAGATTTTACCGACCCTGCCGACCAGTGTCCTTTTATGTCTACTTCGTTAAAAGGGGGGAAAAAGGGCAAAAAAACAATCTTTAGGTCCGACAACTTTAACTTGTTTGTTTTCAATTGAATTGTTTAACTGTTATAGCCAACATTGTAGAATAATGTTACATTTGAAAGTGGATGGTTGAAGATTAGGTACCTATGTCAAATCAAGGCCGGTGATACTGACACGTGCTACATAGCGGAGGCTCCACACGCCACGTCAGTACCACCGTTTACAAGCAACGTATCATTTAAATACGTAAATTTGACTAATAAAGCTGCATGTACAAAGTTGGGTTACAAAGTATGTTGGCAAAATCTAGGCTATTAATTTCAAATGATTTAAAAATCTTTTTTTGAAATAATTAGTGTGGATGTGATTTTGACATCCAACTTTATCAACCCTTTGTAAGTATAGCGCAACTCAAATTTGAGATGTCCTCGCATGTTCTTTACACGATTTATAAAAATCGTCAACATTATTGGAGGCTCCTCAACTTATTTTTATAACGTGACAATAATTTATGATGTATTGCTATTTTCCTTTTCAAAAATAGATATTCAACATTCAAAAATCAGTCGAAGCATGTTACAATTTTCACTAACGACCTGTCTCGTGAACTTTTTTTTTTTATCTCAAATTAAAATCTAACAAGAAATTCTTTTAAAAATAAAGAATCGTGATCACTTTTTTCAAACGGTCACGAAACAAATTTTCATTAAAAAATGATTAAATGTTGTCATTTTTTAAAAGAAAAATGGTTAATGATATTTTCTTTGTTTAAGTCACATTACAGTCCTCCTTTGAAGAAAATATTAAAATAATCTTGTGTTTGTGCTACAAATGAGAAATGAATTGTACTTGGGAGGGCATTGGTTTCTCGAAAACATTTTGAAGGATTAAATTTCTTAAATAAATCTACCAATCTTTATAAAAAAAATTTATTATATTTCATTATTCGAAACATAACATAAATTGATCCATCTTAGAACATTTAATATCAATTTGAGTTCCATATATTTGTGTTATGGATGGTTATCAAATATAGATAATTGTATTGACAATATAATTTTTGTTATCTGCACCACTTTTAATTGCAATGACGGTTTTCAATTTTTGTTCATTTTATACTTATGACTTTACTTTTTACGTCGCATTCATGTATTTAAGATTTTATCAATTAGTACATCTTGCCGCTAGTGAGCATTTTTGTTCAACATATTTTGTCACTTGTTTCACATGCAAAACAAAATACTTTGTAGAACTTTTATATTATTGGCCGAATTATCCTAACAAAATTTCATTTTCAAGGCAAATGTCTCGACAAAGCAGCAGATTATAAATATGAGCCTAATTCACTGTCAAGCCATGAAGAAAAATATTTCACAGTATTGTTGACAGTCCTTTCACATAGGGGAGTGAGACCTGCAAAGAAAATAATCGCGGCCCCACATTTTGTGAAAGAGTTGTTAAACAAAGTGTACAACATGTGCTCTCTCACAAAAAGTAGGGGATGTGATTAAAATAATCGCGAGCCCCACTCTCCCACGAGATTGGGATTGTCAGCAATGCTATGAAATAAACTGTACATGTAGCATAATTCACAAATTGTTTCAAAATCTCTCTCCCTTCTTGAGAGAAACAAAGTTGAATCGATTTTTCATTTCCTAATTCTTACTCGGAAGAAGACAGATAAATGATCTATTTGAATTGAATTTATTTTACGATTTTTTCCCCTTAATCCTAGGCTCATTTTTCTAAAAACTATTAAAGGATTCATACGTGGAGATAGTCTCAGAGATGTTTATATTTTAACTTAATTCTTATCCCTTCAACTCCCTCTTTTTTGTAGGGTCGTGATAGTATGATTGGATTTCACTCCTTCTCATTATAGCTGTTTGGAATTAGCTATTCTCAAGGTGCGCTACCCTTTTTTTTTTTAATCTATGGGTAATTAATGTCGTAGCAATTAATTAATTAATTATGAATAATGCTTCTATTTAGTACTCATTCGTTCAATAAAGATATTAGTATTTCTTTTTTCACACCGATTAAAAAAATTTAGTAAATGTATTTGAAATAATAAATTCTACTATCATTTTTCATAATATACCCCTATATCAATGCAATCAATATTCGAGATAATTAGACTATCTTGGTACTAATCATTGTTTAATGCAAGATTCGAGATAATTAACATTCCAAAATCGTCCAATACAAATGCAAAAGAATAAATGTTATGGAATATGAAATGCTTTTTCGGTATTTTAAAAATTGTTGTTCTTACTACAATTGAATGGTGGAGTAATTTATATATGTGAAATAAAGCACATTAAATAGGGGCATATTAAAAAATTAATATATTAACTACATTCTGAAATAAGAAATATGACTATAATTTCGGATAAAAAATGAGTAATGCTATTCATAATCGTCCATTGTGGTAATCGTTCTACCTGCATCTTACATGGCAGTTGGTGATTTGTTGTATTAATGCGATAATTTTTTTCTTGCTTTTTATATCAAATCACTAATCGCCACATGTATGTCACGTAGGACGAATGCGAATGTGAGCGACTAAAAATAACGTTTATCTTTATGAGACGGAAGGAGTATCAATCTATTTGAATAACAACTTGCCTATTGGGCTTTCACTCTAACTTATCCCAAAACGGCAAAAATTATTTTTATCATAAGTATGAATATACATACTGAAGATGCAATGAAAACGAAATAATAGTGTTGAGAATTAAGACAAATTTTATTATTGTTCGAAGAAATTAGCAACACAATAAAAAGTATCAATGTTATCGGAATCGAATTGGACTGACCAGTTCAATCGAGAAAATCGAGAACCGGCCTCTAAAACGGTCTGATTATTATATATTAGCCAAAATTTGAAAAACCAATAAATAAACCAATGAAACGGCCAGTTAACCGTAAAACAAAAACCCGGTCACGAATTTTTACCGATTATTTAAGGTTTTTCGTTTTTCATTTTCTTTAACAAAAATGATGGGGCCACTTTCCATGGCAAGCCCAGCTATGATTTCAGCTAAAGGATTGCTTCTTTTAAGAGCAACTCCTCATCCATATTTCTTTCCATCATCTGATGTCGGATAAGTATCATAGCCGTCGGATAAGTATCATAGCCACAGTGCCCACTAATGGATAAAACCTACAGTGCATTGCCAATTGAAATATTAAATTATTACTTAATTATTTACTTCATTCTATAATAGCATGGATTTAAATCATGGATCCCAAAGTACAAACAATTTCAATGGACAAAGTATATTATTTTGGACATATTAATGATTGGTTTATGAAATTTTAGAATAAACTATATGATAATAAGTCTAATTGACAAACATGAATTTATATTTACTTTGAATTAGTAGTACTAATTTTTATTTTTATTTTAAAAAAATTATTTTATTGTTTGTGCGTATTTATTTACTTAATTTTAGCATCCGGTTCAGCCCTAGTTCGACTCCGATTTGATCCTTTGACCCTATTCTTTTCCGGGTCAATTTTTAAAGCATTGAAAATTATACAAGTAAGACGAAAATATTGAATTTCATTCACCCAAACTTTCCAAATATAGTAGGAAAATACCATAAATTTTATTACACTTACCAACTTCTACTCTTTAACTATCCACAAGAAGATCAAGAAAAATCAGGGGACTAAGCTTACAATTTGTTCTCACAAAAACTCTCCGATAATGTAAAAATAAGCCGAATTTACTATTAGTCTGTAGATGAACATGATCGATTTAGATCAATTTTATAACCATGAAGATACAAATAATATGAATAATGTTTTTCATGGTGAGAACTATCGATAATTACATTACGTGACATACATGTGGCTCTGCGTACGTGCCACGACTACCAATTATCCTCATTATGAATAACATTATTCAAATAATATATCTTGCAAACATAACTTCATGGAGCCACCACAATCAACTTAAGTGGCAAGCATTACTAGCAATGTTTGTTGATTGCAAGAATCACATTGTGTTGTCAAATAATGTTATTTATAGTGAACATTGTCGATAATTATCTTATGTGACAATTTATTATTAGTCCTTACAATAGTATTATTGTGGTCAAAATTAAAATAAATTAGCTTAAAAATCCGTCAAGACTACAAAAAAAAGTAATGAAACCAAACACATCTTGCCACGTAATCAAATGCAAAACAATGTTCGACATTTATGAATTCCCAATTCTACCCTTGTCAGTCCATCTAAATCACAAACATGCCCCCCATAGTACCTATATATACACTCCTCCTCTCCTATTTCATTTCCCAGCAACTTAACTCCTTCCCTTTTCAATTACTTCACTGCAATTTATTTGCTTCCTTTCAGGAACTGGCTAACCCTCAAAAAACTCTGGAGGAGACCCAAAACGAAGGGGTGGTGATCGCCCTATATGATGCCTTAAAAATACACGACGCTGAGGCAGTCCAGAAGATTCTGGCCCCGGATCTTGAGTGGTGGTTCCATGGCCCGCCTTCCCACCAGTTTTTAATGCGCTTGCTCACCGGCTCTGCCGAAGAAGATACCGACACCAGCTTCACTTTCCTCCCCCACCGCATCTCCGCCTTTGGCTCGACGGTGCTCGTTGAGGGTTTCGATCAGACCCGTACCATTGCCTGGGTTCACGCTTGGACTGTGGATGGGATAATCACTCAGGTCAGAGAGTATTTCAATACCTCCCTGACTGTTACGCGCTTTGGAAAGACAGACAAATCGGATTACAGCAGTATAACGTCACTCCATTGCCCTTCGCTGTGGGAGAGTAGTCTCCCCAATCGGGTCGGAAAATCTGTCCCGGGTCTTGTTCTTGCTATATAAAGATTACCTAGACGAATAAATTAGTGTTGGGTCTTGTTTATTTTCTCATTTTGCATGGGCTGAGGGAGCACCGTTTGATCTTATATCCCGGGGATGTGAGATTTTCAACGGTTGGGTTTGATTTGGGGAGTTTGATTTGTGTGTGTGTTGGCTGTTGTTGGAAGGGGACCCACGATGACTGGGCGATCCTTCGACTTTGATCATGTGTGTGTTTTGTTTGCAATAAAAAAGTTCTCGTGTGATTTGCAAATGGATGCGTTCATATTTCTTGACTCTACACGTTCGACGATGCGAATTATATTAGACCGTTTAAAAATTCGACTTTGGCACGACGGCCCAGGATCTCCGGTCGCCCTCCAAGTTGGTTTTAATTTTTTTTATTGATTAAAATACTATTGAGTCCAATGGTTGTCCCGCACGAAAACTCTGCTTTGCTCGATAGACGTGTCCTAATCATATTAGTTAATTAAGCTAAGCTGATTGGTTATCAACTTAGGAATACTCATTATAATTAAAGAAGAAGTTAAACAGTCAATTAAGATGATAAGATCACAAGATTGGGATTGGAAATTTCAACGGATTTAAACAGAGTAGCCATCAGCCATTAGAGAATTTAATTAAAACATCTTTGATCATTTTGCTCGTCAGCATCAATTGATATAGGAGTTAACTTTTTAATACATCACAAGCTGCTTATCATTTTTATCTTTCACGTTATTCATTCTTTGCATATTGAGCTCCCGTTTGTTTCTCATTATTTTCTCACTAAAATGAAAAATATGATCGTTATCCATCACATCAAACTATCAAATTTGAATTTTTATCCTTTGTGTGGGGCTCGTAACGACTATATTTTTCATTCTCATTTTTGAAAAAATGGGAAACAAACGGGGCTTGAATCTTTATAACCTTTTCACATTCTTTTTATTATTTGACCAAGAAGGCATGAATTAAATTTGTAGAAAATATTAACTAGGGGAAAAATAAGAGATATTATAAAATATAAAGACAATTTAGTGAAGACAAAAGAGAATATTGTAAGGATATTCACACATATTGTGGATAGTTTTTTTCCGGTGCCAATTTATAGGCTTATGGAATCTTCCAAAATTAATAGAATACTTCATATTCCCCTTTGTTCTATAAAGATAAAACTTTCTTCTTCTTTTTTTCATTTGTCTCAAATTATTGATCACTTTCTTTGTTGAGAGTGTAGTTGATTTTTTTAATGTGCTTTGTTATTAATAAATATGAATTGATCCTATTTAAACTATTAATCAATTAGGTTATATTAGAAAAAAAATATAAGTAAAATTTAATTCCAACTATATCAATTATATTTTTTTTAATCTATGTAACAATGAAAGCAAGTCCATCTTTATGGGATAGATTACATAAGGATTATCATATATCGATGAAAAACAATACATTGCATGCACGAAAGACTCGGCTCGTGTTTGGTTTTGATTAAAATCTGATTTTAATTCAAGTCAAAGTCAAATAATCAATATTAATGACATCTTTCATGGATCCTACAACTTTTCAACCACACATTTCAAAAACTTCTATCACAATCTATTAAAAAATCTAATTTTAATCACCGCCAAACATCCTCTCAATATATTATATCATTTTTGTATGTGTTCACATTAAATGAAATTGAAGGGTTCCGGTTCAATGAATTTATAAGGATGGTACTAGTAGAATGTCTAAATATAAGATAAAATCGTTCACAAATTGATTTTCATTTCATTGGACTTTTAATGCATTAAATTAAGATAAATATAACCAATAAATATTGTATTAGATAGTTTTCTTCCATCTTATTGCGTCCAAATGTCAAACAAGACGGAAAAATATTACGTGCATCTATCTATGTGATAATCATGCACAAAATAAGAAACAAAATTTTAATGGGTAATTTCATTTGTTGTCACGTGCCTTTTAGACAAAACTAGACTTTAATTATCTTAGTTGGATTTTTAACCATCAATTCAATTTCATACTCCCTCCGTCCAATTTATATAGGTTGATTTTGTTTTTCACATAGATTAAGAAATTTTATTTAATGTTAATTAGAAAAGTAATTTTTGCCGAAAACTTTCATAGTCTACCCTTATTTATATTTGTACAATTTCAAGTTTAAGTGGAGAAAATTGGTTATAACTAAGCAAATTAAATAAGGATATACTAGTTAACAAACAAAACAAAATATTCTCGAATAAAGAAACATAATTATCTAATTGGGACAAAAAAAGAAGAAGGAAAATCGGCCTATGTACATCGGATTGAGGGAGTATTTCACTATCCCTTCACATGTTGTCTCCTAAATTGATAAAATTTATTGAACTGAAAGTTATACCGCAACGCATGCATCTTATATGTAATGGTTGTATGGCACGCCAATCTACTATTATACCACATTATATATAAAAGTTTTATAATAAAAAAAAAAATGCACTCTATCATTTTTATCTAAAGACATTGTTGTAATCTTCATTTTACCAGTTCATTACTAGGGTTGGATGTTTTGATTACGTGAAAGATAGTTACTAAATGACTATCAACCAAGCAATTTTCAATGTGTGATGAAGTCACTCGTGGATTTTTAGTGGAGGCAATGGGTCAACTGCCCACTGCATTTTGAATATTCAAGAAAAAATAAGTATGGTATGCACAATAAAAAAGTAAAAATGTCTCCACTTTCCAATCATCCCTAACTTGGTGTCGTCACATGTATTATATCCCTAACTTGTGTAACATATTAAAATACAATGAAAAAAATCACTAAAATCTGGGAAGAACAATTGCAAGTTATTCGAAGAAATTGCAATATATATTTTGCTAATGCTTTGTTTCATAAATCTTATTTCTTATCGAGTAAAACTTCTAGCTCCGTCCTTAAATGGAATGTGATACATTGATGAAATTCAAACGTATATTGAAGTTTGACGACCCAATCAAAATACTTAACTTGAAGGCTGTAACTTACCATTTCAAAGAAAAGGAAGAGAAATCTTCCAAGTTTTTGCATAAACGCCTGCTTATTTGGACATTTTCTTGCGTCTTCATGTCTGATGGCACTGATTGTCTGACTGATAATAACCAGCTACCTAATGACCGAATACGACACCGTTTGATGCACATGAAGGAGAAATGCCAAAGTTTTTTTGATACGTGTAGGCCCTTCCATTTTTTGTCGTCCCAATTCAAATCACTGCATTTAAATTTGTACCAAGGCAACTTGACAGCTTATTGTAGTTTTCCATTACTATGAGGTCCATGAAAGGGAGATAAAGGAACCCTTGTTGATGGAATCTTTTATATTTTGCACTTTTGCTTCATAATTTTTTACTCGAGAAAAGCTAGGCACTGCCCGGGTTGAGCAAGCTATGTGTCCACTGTTCATGCCTATATGTAATATTTTGAATATCGTGAGGTATTATATAAAGAAGGGTAATCGAAAAATATATTGAAAAATGTAATCATTTACTTTGAAAATAACTCTTTACTTACTCCACAAATTATGATGAAAACATTATATTCCTCCCATTTTATGATTAATGCATAATATTTTAAACTTGTAAAAACTTTAGTGGGGTAGATGATAATGAAATGTTACAAACATTCCATATTCCATTGGAAGCATATTCTTTTCTTTTTTAACGAGTGAGGGATATTTCCAAGGAATTTTGGGCATCTATTCTTGATGGCATTCAATGGATAATATGATTCACTTGATTTTAGCCAAAAGAACAGAAAAGAATTCAATGAGAGGGGAAGACGAAGGTATATTGGTCCGAGTTGTAATTGTACAATGTTGTTGTGGGTATAAAAATATACGAGATGATATTAGTTCGCATCATTTTATACATCGTTTGATTCCTCTAATCGGAATTATTAATGTTCTTAACATGGACGTATTGTAGAGGCTAAAATGATATAAAATTCACATCATTTTTATTTCTGTTCCTTTAGTTGGCATTATCAATGTTATTTTTATGGGCATCATACATAAAGATTTTAAAAACATTCAATTGATAATTTATAGTTGAATCAAGATAAATCAGGTCTAATGATTCTTTTATTCCGAGTCAATTATATTTTCCTCTTATCAGAAATGATGCACGCACAATAAACACTTGCAATATACCACCTCTAAAGGAATCATAGAGTATTCAATAGAGAATTGAGCTAGTTGGAGCATATATAGAACATCTTGCCCAAAGATTCTTAATCCACCTCCATTTGAAACTATTTTTATGTTCATTGCAATTATTATTCTTAAATTTATCACTTTCAACTTTATAAAGGAGAAATAATTACATTCATTTGACATTTGATATGAAGAGTGAAGATCAATATGCAATAGAACATATGAAGAACACAAAAATTACGTCTTGATATGAGATGTTGGTGCGTGTGTGTCAATTTGTCAATTTTAGGTTTTATTGACTTTTCTTGGAAAGTTTAGAGACTATGGTAAATGGGTATTTTCAGTTATTATATTAGTTAGTGGAACATACTTGCAAAATATCTTATTGCACTATGAGATTTAAACAAAGTTAAAGTTGATACAAAGCCCGACTCAACATCTGGACAAGTTAGACAGTTTCCTATGATCCACATTTAGGTAAAGCCCTCATGTTTACAAAAATAAAAAACAAAAAAAATATTCTAAGAGTTTTTTATTGATGAAATCTTTCTTTCATAAATAAAGATGGAATTGGAAATGGTAGAAAAATAAAAGAAAATTTATTAAATTTCTCTATATAGATAACTTTTCGGGAAAATTGCAGCAGCGGTCCCAAACCTTTTCAATATTTGCAGACTTTACCCTAACCTTCATTTTGTGCCAACGAAGGTCCCAAACCTTTCATAAATATGCAGTCGAAATCCAGATGGATGGAATCCATCTATTTCACCGTTAGTTGACCAAAGAACTGACTTTGACTCCAATTTTCACCATATTGTAAGGCAAAATAGTAACTTACATATTATCCCATTAATTAAATAATTTAAATAGATAAACCATAAAAAAAAAAAAAAAATGAAAGAAAGAAAATGTGGGCATCATCCCCCCCCCCCCCCCCCCCCCCCCACCAATAAAAAAATAAAAATGAAAGAAAGAAAATGTGGGCATCATCTTCTTCTCTCCCCCTCCCCCCAATCCAAATTGCAACAGGCCATCGTCAGTGGTGTCGTCCGCCATCCACCGGCCACCACCATCCCCCACTCCAACCTTCTTTC